TTTTTATGTATTGCTTATGATCTCCCTTAAAATTCTGGTCCTAATTAATATCATTATAAATGAATAAATTAGGCCACCTCCATATAAAGACCACCTGTCTATAAAGGACAGTTTGGCTCAGTCCACTGACTGTCCTTTATAGACAGGTTTGACTGTATGATGTGCAAGAGTAACCCAATATACATGATCATCATACAAAGTTTAATAATTGAAATCGCCCTATTCAGCCCTGAGAAACAGTTCCAGACACGTTACAGACTGATTAAGATATTAAACAAAATGGCCGCCATTTTGACAAATTTGATCAAATCTCAAAACAAAACATGGTGTTGTGTTATCTTGAAGAATAGTACTATGTACAAACTTTGAACTGAATCAGGCCATATCTTATGGGGGAATCGGCATGAAAACAGGAGAAAACTAAATGGCCGCAGTCGGCCATCTTGGTCAGAATCTTGAAAAAAAAAGTGACGGACGGACAGACACAGACAATCACTTGTAGAAACAGCTTTGCTCTCATCTGTGACAGCAGAGCTAAAAACAGCTTAAAACTTCTACACCATAATCTAGGCACAGGCAAGGTTCCTCAATGGTTTAGCGAGTCAATGATGTGAGGTATATCAAAGTGTCATTAAATGTGCAATTACATGATAAGCTTACCCATCATCATCCTGTGCTTCATGCAACCTGTTGGCAGAGCTTTTAAGGAAATGTATCACATCAATATAGGTTTTGTACACTGCTTTGACATTACGCTGTCGTGGATTCACTCTCAAGGGTGTGGCACGGTAAATACCAGTGATGATAACACGATCACCAGGTTGTACACTATCTACCAAATCATTATGGGCATATAGTAAGACAGTGTGTGGTGTCTGTCCAGGAGGCATATCCTCTGAAAAAAAAAAAAATGCAATCCAATAATTTATAGTCAGTGTACAAGAGGATTTTAATTCTTAATATGTTAATATTGCATCTAATATCCTAACACAGATTGAACTATTGGGGGGGGGGGGGGGAGGTTGGATGATAACTGCACAAACCAAACTGACCAGATATAAGCAAGAATCGATAATACTGAGATAACACCACAGCACTCAATGATGGACACTTGTGATGATTTTCCTGATTAACTAATTTTTTTTACAATCTGGAAACAGTAAGAATTCTAAAATAGTTTTTGAATAATGAATAATAATAATCATCTTTATTGTTATCGTATTCTCTATGGGACTTTGATTGAAGAATACAATAAAGGTATGAACAATGAACATATTTATATGAAAATCAGTCTAACCAGCGCCCATCCCCCATTTTTGGGGCATTTCTATTTTCAGGTTCATGTTTGGCTAAGCGTCTATTCCTTGAAAAATGCTGAAAAATTTCTAATTAAACTATTTAAAGTGCCTGTGCCTCACGTTTCCCATTTTAGATCTGTATCCCACTGAAATGGGCAGTTATTGATTTTTTTGCTGAAAATGATTACTCGTATCCAAGTAAATTTGGGATATTTCTCGTGTTGTAGCCACGCCTACCTATTCTGAAATGGTCGACTGTTTCCAGAATTCCGACTCTCGCCAAAAGTGCGCCACCAAACGCCAAAATGTGAGAGGAAGTCATACCCCTGAGCCGTAATAACACTGGTCATTCAGTATACTTTTAAACGATATACATTTTTCAGTCGGCGTTATTTTTTCTTTTTTTTGAGAGAGAGAGAGGGTTTTTAGATATTGTGTTGTGGGCAGTTGCAGTGAAACGTATAGTTATAGTGTAAGTATTCACACATTTATAATCGAACCAAAGGTGCGACATCAGTGGACGAAAGCCACTTAGCCTCTGATTCTTTTTTTGGAAAAACTGTCTAGTGTTTGGTGATACAACAGAATTCCACAAGTAGTGCATTTCTTGTTCTAAATAAGAGTCACTTTGCAATATGGTGGACACAGTGATTTGTTTTTTTGAGCCTTGGGTGCCAGACTCCGGAACTTCTGGAAATGAAATCGAGATAAGGCATCAGCGATTGAATTCTCTGTACTTTGACATCAATAATTCATTTTCACATTGCGTTACCAGAATGCCTTCATAAAGAATTACGATGGTATAACACTGCATTTTGATTGGTTTAAAACATATTCGACCTATCAGGTAAAAGGACGATGTTGCAGGTCAAATCATGTGAGAAAACAGGGCAGAAAATGCTTTGCATCAAGAGTTTGTGTACGATCGAACACATTTGACAATAATAAACTGTGTTCCAACAGACAAATAATTTCAATCTTGTAAATTCTTGTGGTATGTTATAAATATTGTAATTAAATGTGCGAATTTTTTGTGACCATTTCTGTTTCTTCATTGTAAAGCTGTTTTTAAAATCAATGATGATTTTGCAATTATAATTTCACCAAAATAGAGTACTCATTTCACCCAACCTTCCGCTTTTACAGCTTTTCAATCGACCGCTTATCGCCAAATTTCCGACCGACTGCATTTTAATCAAATTTTTTCCACTCGCTCATTGAAAACACCGACCACTCAGCCAAACACTGATCACTGGCACACGAGTGGTCAAAATGGTGGTTTTGATAGTAAAATACAACTACCGGATTCAGCTGATACCCAGCGCTGGGTGGTCTTATGGAGGATCGATTTTTTTTATAGAAAAACGTGAACCAAAAGATCGCCCGGGCGATTTAATGGCAGATATTACGAAGCCCATCTTGTCTGGAAAAATAACCCTGCGTTGATAAAAGTGGTCTCAGAAAATGTTTAGAAAAAATGATGTTTTAATACATTGGTAAGAGGTCGCATTTTACGTGAACTAGAACATGCACGAAGAAGGAAAAGCAAGCCAAAGTCAAAACAGGGTGCATCACGCAACTTGTATTCAACTCTATTGCTTTGAATATATCAACGTTGTTTAATTAGTGCACTGCTTTTCTAATTACACAAATTTGTTTACAATATTGTACTGGCTCTGAATATTTCAACAAAAAGTTCAAGATCGATAAACAAGAAATGGGCGAACTAAAATGTCTCCTGAGTTTCACATACGACATGATTATTAAATGAACACATAGTTAAGCGTTCATGTACGTTCTATAAATCTAACCTTGCACACATACCGTAATCTTGTATTGACATGCTGTTTTGTCCAAAAAAGACGTTTCCCTTTCAGTTAACTCTTCGCGTTCATTGTATTTGTGAGAGTTGAAAGATTGTTTGAACAAATGACGAGTAACTATACTGATTTGCGTCAAGCTGGGTGGCCGGAATTTAAATATCAGTGCGTGAACTCATTGCCCAATGCCACACACGTAATTCAAACACATGGTTATTAGAGTTCAGTCAAAATGTACGTGAATAATGCGATCGAATTCCACTGCCCAGAGTTTATTATATTATAGTAAAATTTAACTTGACGCATGGTATGGTTTATATTACATGTTCACTTCATTTTGAATAAAATAATAATTTTGAACATCAATGAATCACAAGTATTTAAAATATTTTCTTTACTTTCCGTAGACACCTATCTTTTTTAATGATTTAAATGTGCCCATGTTTATGTTTGCGTAATTATTACGAATGCAACGCATTATCAAGTCGGTAATATTGAAATACTCAGACCTAATACCCCGTGTCAGTGCCCTAACAATAGTAAAAAACAACTTGAGTTTGCGCAATTATCATAAAAGCAATACATTGCAAAGTTGAAATACTTAGAGCCCGTACAATACTGTAAACATATTTGCGTTATTAGAAAAGCAGCACACTAAGTAAAAGATGTTAAAATATTCAAAGCCAATAAAGAGTTGGATACAAGTTGTGTTATTACAGTACCGCCGGATATAATAACAAATTTACGAGATCGAAGCGCGGACCAAGAAAGAAAAGGGTTGCTAAGGTAACGCGCCAGTTCAGTGCTCGACTTGGGGTAAACTTCGGTCAACACACACTTGATGTCAGCATCGCCGCGTAGCAAGTTTCGCAACGTACTTGAAATTCAATTGTGCCCCAAAATGATGTCGACGATGACTCAATTGTCGCAGCGCATGTTGTACCAAGTCCATGATACACCCCTTTTCGACTTTGGCTTGCTTTTCCTTCTTAGTGCATGTTCTTGTTCACGTAAATGCGACCTCTCACCAATGTATTAAAACACTTTGAATTTTTACTTATGCGTGATTATATTTGGTCTACGCGAACCATTAATCTTTCTAAACATTTTCTGAGACCATGCATGATATATATTCACAAAATAATGCGGTCATATTTTGTATTATGTTGATCTCTACGTCTTTCTGGATCGTTTTGTGATTTTATTCCAAGGCTCAGGCAAATAAAATAATGTCAACTATTATAGACTAGTTTCCTAGCTTTTGGCTCAGCCAAATTGGTTTAATTTTTCATTAGAACTTTGTGATCCTTTCAATTTCCCAGTTCTTTGTGTTCATTAATGGTCTTAACAATAAGTGTGAATTTCTGTGCGAGCCCACCACGGAAGACCGCGGTCAGCCGGAGTCATGGAATCTATGCATAAATTTGCATAAAATGCGGTCGACCGGCGAGCACCCACCACCACTGTGGTGCACCGCCCATTTGATTTCCTACTCTCCCCTTACGATCAGTGACTAAGCTCGATCTATACGTACCGCAAAAGTATGCCCACAAAAAAAAATATTGTAAAATAAAAACGGGCCACATGTCCTGAGAAAATCGAACAGAGCTTGACATGTATAAATTATTTATTGAGCTTCAGAAGATAACGTGTCAAATTTAGTTGTAGCTGTAAATATTTGGTGACCAGTCGAACAATTTGAAAAGGTAACTACCAGCGTTATGGTCCCGGGATTCAAGCAAAGATTGTAAAATATGCATCTTAAAATAGTGTAACGAGGGCCACCAGGCATTTCACAGTAAGCAGCTTGACAATCCCATTAACGAGAGTACAGTTTGGAATATGAGGAAAGTCTACTTTTAGCATGTGAAAGAAAATCATGACCCACCAGAAATTATAGAGAAAAAACATGGTTGTCCTTTGTTACCAGATTGACGAAATAGTCATTTATTAGGTCTCTGCGTATCAGTGGCGGTATCGTCAATAATTTGATCGTGACTGCAGCATCACAAGTCAATCTTCAAAAGTCTTGGGTCGAATCACTTATGAAGAGGATGGGCTACACAAAAAGACGAGGAACCAAGGCATGTAAACTTTCCTTAAGTCAAAGAGGATTATTTGCGTAAAAAGTGCGTGTCTGATTACCAAGTATCGGACGAGTTGATTTTTACCTGGGAATAGACTGGTGTTGCGACAGTGCCATTGGGTAACTGGACAATGTTAGGTAATGACAAATCGCGTCATTCTTGCTGTTAACCATGCTGGCCACATGTTACCACCACAGTCTTTGTATCTGGGAAAAGACTACACAGTGCCACCCAGCCTTTAAATTTCTGGACTTGTGGGAGTCACAGCCTGAACCATTGATCAAATATGGAAACAATGCATCGGTATTTAGATACTTATCCGTATGCGACATCGACGTGCCATGAATATTGCTGTTCTAAAATGTCTCCTTTTTAAAACCAGAATTCAGATGAATACTATAAAAACTTGACCCATTTTAAATAATTAGTGTTGAAAATCAAAACAAAGTCATCAATCAGTAAGTATTATAACAAGGAAAACATAACATCAAGACACCGAGAAGAAGTCAGCACAAAACTAATTGGTCAAAATAGTTGTTAATGTATCAAGTTAATGTATTCATTGAATCACACAAAGTTCGTCCAGTTACGAACAAAGCCGTCTTGCATCACCTAGAAAAATTTGCAAATGTTCGAAGTACAGGTACACATTGAACAAAAGATACATGGAAGTCTATTAACTGGGACAGT